TTCAGCCAAAGATTAGACAGCCCCATAAAACAAAATGAGACTAATGGGGCACAACAGTCCAGGGACAAGGACTAGAAGGCAGGAGGGGACAGAAAAACTGGTAATGGGGACCCTAGGTTGAGAGGGGACAGTGTTGACATGTTGTGGGGTTGTAAACCATTGTCATAAAATAATATGTGTACTACCTTTTAAATGAGAAACTAATTGTTCTGTAAACCTTCATCTAAAGTACAATAAAAAATTTAAAAAATAAAATAAATAGTTATTTCCCATGCTCCCCTCCTACACACGCAGATTCCAGATCCACTTTTAACTAAGGAACAAAGAAAGTAAAACAACCACACTTACTTGAGAGTTTATTTCCCTCTTTCAACAACAAAAATATGTTAGTGAAGGCAGTGAAGTTACTTCTGGGCTGGCTTCTGGAGGGCACAATATATGACTTGAGGACATTTGAAACATGGAGCAAGTCCCATTTTTATATCCCTTTATTTTCTTCAGGTATGCCAAATCATCAAATGTTCCTCTGTTGGAAAACCTTTACCACCTCCTTGAAATATCTTTCTGCAAAGGCCAGCAACTTGGTTATCACAAGATACCTGGATCTCCTGAAAACACCAGTGATACAGGGTGAGATGAGGAATCAAGTGCTAAAATGGAAGAAAGAGAACTAAGATGAGGAGTGTACCAGAGGCAGTTTTCCTGATTTTACTTTTTTGTTGTTGTTGTTTAAATAGATCTGTTTTGGTAAGAACAGCAGGAGTACAGTGGGGAATGGTGTTTTTCTTGCTAATCTACAAGAAAAATCAGACTGTGAGGTGCTTAAAAACCCTTCAGACTAAAAATAAAACTTTCCTTCTGCCCTATCATCACCTTTTCTGCCCACAGAATATGCTGTAGCAAATACAGGGCTTTAAGTCATTCAGATAAACTTGGTCCAGAAGTGAGGGTGGGGAATAGTCTTAGTAGAGTGTGGATAGTAAAGAGTCAATAAGGAGATTCATTTTTCCCTTTGAGAATAGAATGCACCTCTCCAGGGAGAGAAAAGATGAGCAGAGCCTCAGGGGACTTTCAACCACATGTATGAGAACACTGAAAGAGAGCCTCAAGCCTGTAAGTTTGCTGAAAGTCATGACTAGATACACATTGACTTCTGGAGGCAGAAACTTTTTATGTAATTACAATCTTTATTATTAAAATGCACGTTATAAACTATAGCCGTAAATAAATTCCAAGTGCAATATCTTCACAGTATCTTATGAAAGTAAAAATAAAAAGGTGGCCTGAAAAGTAAGTTGCACAGAGTTCCATTGATGCATTCTTCGGACCAAGGTAACACAGACTGTTGTTACTGGGGCAAATAACTCCTCTTCATGAAATTACTGGTTAATAGAATTAGCTGCTTAACTGAATGACTATGAAAAATTTAAACCATTTGAATATACTAACAATAACAATCATGACAATAATAACAACTTGGAAATAACTCTATATTCAAAATCTCCCTTGTTGGAATAATTTTGTATTTTGGAATCAAAACTCAAACAACTTTATATAAGAAATATGTGATTATTTACGTTAAATTATATATTACAGTAGTTAAGGGTGTTTACTTTTTGCACCCCAATTTCATGGGACCCAGAAAGTGATAAATGGGAGGTCTGGAGAGGATATTCCTCAAGGAAAGGAGACGCTCAGAGAGGAGGCTACTAGTGATTTCCCTGGAAATAAGGTCTGGAATTGGAAGGGAAACAGTAAAAAAATAAATAAATAAATAAAAAACAGGGAGATACCTGAGAAACTAATATCCATTCTTGTGGGTATATTCTTTAGAATTTAGCATCCCTTTCTGGTAAGCAAAATAGGAGGTCATTTACTAGATGTAGTCTGAAAGACACTGCTGCCAGGCATACTTTCTTCAAAATATTTTCCCCTCTTTTCTGCCTTAACGCCTATAATTCCTTCATTGACGGTCACCACTTTATGTTAAGGCCTTGTCTTCTCTACAGAATTCAGATATCCTTGAGTAAAGTAATATTAAGCTAATACTAGTCATTAGCACCTTAGTGTGAATGAGCTGATCAGATTACTGATTAGATGAACAAGGGACCACAGCATAAGGCAAAACATAATGATGAGGGGGGAAGAATGGATAAAGTAAATCAGAGCGCTGAATACAAACCTATATGGGCAGGTATGCTGAGAAGGAGTGGCCCAAGTTAAGCAGCACAGGAACACTAGATACTCGTCTTCTGTCCAAATAATGTAAATGAGCTGCAACGACTTCTGGGATGCCTAACAAGTAATGGGCCCTGCCCGCAACCATTTCCTTAAGAAAGCCAATAATCTCCTGGAAATATTTCCTTCCCCTTTATCCACCAGCTGCTCCTTGGAAACCCTAGGGAGCTGTTCTACTCTGTCCTATAGGGTCGCTATGAGTCAGAATGGACTCGACGGCAATTGGTTTTTTGTTTTTAAACAAAAAGATATTTCTAAAGTGAAATCAACATTTTAATATAATTAAATTACTGGTCTTCCAAAGTGACCTTAAGAAGTGTAATTCATGCTAATCCAGTAAATAGTAAATATATATAATATATGCAAGACTCTTCGATTACAAGAACCCACAGTTCCACAAAAGTATTACTTGCAACCACATTACAACACTAAATTATTCTCAAATACAAATCGCTTTAAAGCAAACATTCTTTATATATTTAGTTACCCTTTATAAAACTCAATATAACACTGCGTTGACACATTAAAACATGTACTTTACAGTGAATAATAAGGAGACACAAAGATACACTATTGCTAGCAGCACAGTCAGTTTTCTTACAGGGTATTTTAATAACTAAGTACAAGTAAAATCAACATTTATCCAGAGAAAACTTGAAAAAAAGTTTCCATTAATCTTAGATATTAGAATTCATATGAATTTCACACCTTTTCCCCAAAACTTATTAATATCATAATGGCATGCCTAAACAATTCCTTCCTCTAAATAAGATAGAACATTTCTTCCAGATGTCAAGTAGTATGTGTCTTTATTACATAGCACACAGATTTTAAGTACATCAATTGCTTAAAAATATGTTAGAGCATTTAGCTAAAACATGTTTCAAAGTATTTTAATACTTAAGATCTCATGTTTAATTATTACTCATATTCTGAATCTGTTTCCTGAATAATAATACCAAGCAGCTAGTAGGCAACACATTGCAATGGGTGCCCATGGCTGCATAAATTAATCTCCTACACTTTTCTCAAAATGTAGAAGATATGCCTTCCTCAAGTGCTGGGAAGTAGGCTGTGCAGATCTCAAAATGGTTATGGCTGGGGCAAGATAAGACCAGAAAAATCACTGCAGACACTAGTGTCCACACACCTGGCTACCTACAAATCCTACTCTGGCTGGTATAGGTAGTTCAATAGTTACCACCAAGCTTAAAGTAAGAAATACAATGTGGTGTGAATTTTATGAGGTATACCTAACTCTGCTTCATCTTTTCACTCTGGCCCAAGTTTAGTAATTAATTAGTGCACTACTTTTTCATAGGCTTGGAAAGTACAATGACCTGCCAGAAGTACCTCAATGTCCCTCTAGAAGCATGGTAGATGTCCCTCTACTAAGCAGATCCATACATCTCTAGAGATGTTCTTTAGAAGTAGTTTAAGAGAGTCAGAGCCATGATTGTCACCTATCTACTGTCTCTCAGGCCTCAAGTCATTTGTGTCACATTGTATGGACTTTAGCAAGCTACCTGCCCTGAATAGATTCAACACAGCATCCTGTAGAGACATAGACAATTATTATATATGAATCTGAGTATTATTCTTAGTTCAAACAAACCAGAGGCTTGAGTTCCGATTTTCATTCTATGAGTGTGTATGACAGATGATGTTTCATACTGACATCGAAATGAAAGAAGTAGCTATTGGAGTCTTCAAGCCTTGGAGTGTAATTATACGTGGGAGATAAAAATGGCTCTTTTATAACACTTTATTAACATAGAATAAAAAAATGTCCATCCCACTTCGAATATAACCAAAAGTATGATATTGGAATATAAACTGCGGTTACTAGGATAAACAGACAACTAAACTGCCTCTGAAGATAGGAGACTTAATGTCCTTTGTGAAGGAGCCCTGGTGGTACAGTGGTTAAGTGCTCAGCTGCAAACCAAAAGGTCAGTGGTTCGGTTCAAACCCACCAGCCACTCTGCGGGAGAAAGATGTAGCGGTCTGCTTCCATAAAGATTTACAGCCTTGGAAACCCTATGAGGTGGTTCTACTCTGTCTTATAGGGTCACTATGAGTCAGAATCGACTCAATGGCAACGGGTTTGATTTTGTTTTTTGAATGTCCTTTGTAACAAAACTAAGTGCTTATGATGTTTTTGTTGTTATTATTTGCTGTGGAGTCAATTCCTATTCATGGCAACCCCATGTGTGCAGAGTAGAACTACTCTGTAGGGTTTTCAAAGCTGTGACCTTTCGGAAACAGATCATCAGGTCTGTCCCTTGAGGCACCTCTGGTTGGGTTCAAAACACCAACTGAAGCTAATAGTATTTCTGTGCCTTAGGTTCCCAGATAAAGCTACTAACTCTAGTTGAGAACATATGTGTATAGGATGTCCCTGCAATTTTACACTTTAAGTCTTAAAGACTTGATGACAAATTTTTTACAAAAATGTGTCAAGAAGATAATGGTGCCAAAAAAGGCTCCAAATAGGTTCTATTATGAAATGTGAATTCCCCATATAAGTAAGATAGAAGATAACTGAAAAACTATGAACACTTTCTCTGAGTACTTTGTGGTATGGCTATTGCAAATGTGTTTTGATATACTTGCACTCCGGGCCACATTCTTTTTTTTTTAGCATAATTCAGCTGTCATGGTAGAAGTAGTATGGTTGCTCACAAAGAACTTTGCATGGAGTTGGATGCTATCATGCAAATCTTGTCTTGAAAGTCGTCTTCTGAACTCACTAGTGGTGAAGTAGTATATGACTGGGTCAAGGCAGGAATTTAGACTAGCAAGACACAGGGCCACAGAATGAAATATCAGAATCACCCTTCTGGCTACACAGTTTTTAATTTTGTTAGACTTAACCAAGAAATCTAAAGGAAAACTGAAGTGATAAGGTGCAAAGCAAATTAGAAATACTCCCGCACAGGTTAGAATCATCTTCAGGGCTTTCTTTTTCTCTCCAAGGTCTTGGGCCACAGGGTATTTATTTTGCAATGATAAAACTGTCTTCCAGGTACAATACAGAACTATCAGAAGAGGAGTAATAAACCCAATCAACTCGCCAACAGTCATTATGGCAACGGACTGGGCCAGATTGACATTCTTCGTAGGAAGATCCACAAAGCATTTGGTTCTGTTGCCTGGGATGTCAACACTGGTTCTTAGAAGAGGGAAGAGCAAACAGGCAAGGCAGATGATCAGCCAGCCAGCAATGCTGACATAAATGTCATATTTCTGTTTGCAGTCATGGAAGCGAAAGGGGTACATGAGAAACCAAAATCGCCTCACACTGATGCAGACCAAGAAGTAGATGCTTGCATACATATTGACATACTTCAGGTAGAAACAGAACATGCAGAGTCCAGGCCCAAATGGCCAGTCATGATTTAGGTAGTAAAAGATCCTCAGTGGCAAGGAGAGAATTTGTAGTAAGTCAGCAATGGCTAAGTTTATCATGAATATCACAGCCCGTTTCGTTTCTTTCATATAGCCATAAAATACCCACAAGGCTAATATGTTGCCTATGAGACCTGGCACAAGAATAATAGTGTATGTCACCGCATAGATGAAGTACCGAAAATCTGTATTTTCCTCATCTGGCCCACTGCACGTGTCATTAGTAGGCATGTTTCTTTGTAGACAAACTATCTTTGCCAGATGGTGGTTCAACGTCTAAATTGACAGCCAACTGCTTCTCATTTTTAAAGACTAATAATAGATGGGCTGGAAAGACGATGTGTAAAATAACTTACTTTTATCAAATCTGTCTGAATCTGTGCACATGATTTGAAGGATTTTTCAAAGAACTGTCTGCATATTTGCTTTGGCTTTGTCTACAGTAACTACATAGAATGGAGTCCTGGTGTCCCAGTGGTTAAGTGCTCCTCTGTTAACCAAAAGGTTGGCAGTTTAAACCCACCAGCCACTCCACAGGAGATAGACTTGGCAGTTTGTTCCTGTAAAGGTTACAGCCTTGAAGACCCTATGGAACAGTTCTGTTCTGTCCAATAGGGTCACTATGAGTTGAAATTGACTTGATGGCAATGTTTTTTGTTTGTTTGTTTTTTTCTTAACTAAGTCTAGCGTGCAAGAATAGATGACAAGCTGTTATAACTTTTGCCTCTTGTTTACTCTATTATAAAGCCTTCTGGGATATCATGACAGTTGATCCTCTCTCATTTGGATCATGAACGTACCAAAAAGCAGCTCCTCAAATTCCCATATCATGATAGCCATCTTTTTTTACAGGTGTTTGAATAGGCTCTTTTTCTTTTTTGGCTCACAAGAAGAAAGGTTTGCTTTAGTGCACAGTGGATCCTCCACTCTTCAGGGATGATTAACCTGGACAAATCAGGTTTCTGTTGCTTTTTCAGTTATGTGTCCAAAGCTGAAAAGTGGGAAACAAAGGTAGAGCTGGAAGTGAAAGAAAAACAAGTCAATTATTATTATTTTCTTTTGTAAAAAGAAAAAGCCCAATACCACTAAAAACAACAACAAAATAACAACAGAAAACTCATATCTATGAGTTTTTGCACTAAATGTAAATGTAATTACACTGAATGTAAGTGACTTAAATGCACCAGTGAAGAGACAGAGTGGCAGAATGTATTTAAAAAATGATCCATCTGTATGCTGTCTACAAGAGACAGACCTTAGACATAAAGAAATAAACAAACTAAAACTCAAAAGATATAAAAAATATATCAAGCAAACAATAACCAAAAAAAAAAAAAGAAAGAAAAGGAGAGGCAATATTAATCTGATAAAATAAACTTTAAAGCAAAATCCACCGTAAAGGATAAGGAAGGACATAATATAATGATTAAAGGGTCGATACCTCAGAAAGAAAAATCGTAATAAATATATGCACACCCAATCACAAGGCTCCAAAATACATAAAACAAACTCTAACAGCACTGGAAATAGAAATAGACAGTTCCACAATAATAGTAGGAAATTTCAACACATTACTTTTGATGCAAGACAGAACATCTAGAAAGAAAATATACAGAAGATCTAAATGCCACAGTCAACCAACTCAACCTCATAGACATATACAGAACACTCCCTTCAACAGCCACAAAGTACACATTCTTTCCCAACACACATGGAACATCCTCCAGAACAGACTACATTTTAGGCCACAAAGCAGGCCTCAACAAAATCCAAAACATCGAAATAATACAAAGCATTTCTCTGATCACAATGTCATAAAAGTGTAAATCAATCACAGGAACAGCAAGGGAAAAAATCAAATACATGGAAACTGAACAAAACATTGCTTAAAAACTACTAGTAAATAGAAGAAATCAAGGATGGAATAAAAAAATAATAGAACCAAATGATAATGAAAACACACCTTACCAAAACCTTTGGGACACAGCAAAAGCAGTGCTTAGAGGTCAGTTTATAGCAGTAAATGCACACATTAAAAAAAAAAAAAGTAAGGACAAAATCAAAACATTAACCTTACAACTCAAATAGAAAGAGAGCAGCAAAGAAGCCCATAGTCACAGTAAGAAATGAAATAATAAAGATTAGAGCAGAAATAAATGAAATAAAGAACAGAAAAACAACAGAAAGAATCAACAAGACCAGAAGTTGGTTCTTTGAAAGGATCAACAAAATCAACAAACCATTGGCCAAACTGACAAAAGAAAAATAGGAAAAGAAGCAAATAACCTCAATAAGAAATGAAATGGGTGATATAACAGCAGAATCAACTGAAATAAAAAGGATCATGACAGAATATTACAAACAATTGAACTCCAACAACTTTGAAAACCTAGTGGAAATGGATAAATTTATAGAAACACAATACCTACTTAAATGAAAACACACTGAGGTAGAAAAGCTAAATGGACTCATAGCAAAAGAAGAGATTGAAGAGGAAATTAAAAAAAAAAAAAAAACCCTAACAAAAAAAAATCCCTGGCCCAGAAGACTTCACTGGAGAATTCTACCAAACTTTCTCAGAAGAGCTCATACCAACACTATTCAAACTATTTCAGAGAATAGAAAAGGAATAAGCCTGAACTCATTCTATGAACCCAGCATAACCCTGATATCAAAACTAGGCAAAGACACCACAAAAAAAGGATATTACAGACCAATATCCTTCATGAACATAGATGCAAAAATTTTCAACAAAATTCTGGCCAATAGAATTCAACAGCATATCAAAAAAATAATACATCATGACCAAGCTGGATTCATACCAGACATGCAAAGATTGTTCAACATTAGAAAATCAATTAACATAATCCATTGCATAAATAAAACAAATTAATCACATGATCTTTCAATCGATGAAGAAAAGGCATCTGACAAAGTCCAACACACATTCCTGATAAAAACTCTCAGCAAAATAGGAATAAATGTGATATTCCTCCATATAGTAAAGGGAATTTATACAAAGTCAACAGCCAACAGCATTCTTCATGGAGAAACACTGAAAACATTCCCCTTGAGAATGGGAACCAGACAAGGATGCCCTTTATTGCCACTCTTATTCTACATTATGCAGGAAGACCTAACTAGAGCAATAAGACAAGAAAAAGAAAGAAAAGACATCCAATATGGAAAGTAAGAAGTAAAACTATCTCTATTCACAGATGATATGATCCTATACATAGAAAACCCCAAAGAATCCACAAGAAAGTTATTGGAACTAATAGAAGATTTCATCAAAGCTGTAGGATACAAGATTAACATACAAAAATAACTTGGATTCCTCTACTCCAACAAAGAGAACTTCAAATAGGAAACCAGGAAATGAATACCATTTGCAATAGCCCCCTGCCCCCAAAAATAAAATACTTAGGAATAAATCTAACCAAGGTCATAAAAGACCTATGCAAATAACTACAAAACACTACTGCAAGAAACCAAAAGAGGCCTACATAAATGGAAAAACATACCATGCTCATGGATAGGAAAACTCAACATTGTGAAAATATCAATACTACCCAAAGTGATCTACAGATACAGTGTAATCCCAATCCAAATTCCAACAGTATTATTTAACAAGACGGCAAAACTCATTCCAACATTACACAGAAAGTGAAGAGGTCCCAGATTAGTAAAACATTTGTTATGGATTAAATTGTGTCCCCCAAAAATGTGTATCAATTTGGCTAGTTCATGATTCCCAATATTGTGTGGTTGTCCACCATTTAGTGATCTGATGTGATTATCCTATGTGTTGTAAATCCTAACCTCTATGATGTTAATGAGGCAAGATTATAGGCAGTTATTTTAATGAGGTAGGACTCAAGCTACAGGATTAGGTTGTATTTTGAGTCAATCTCTGTTGAGATTATAAAATAGAAAAACTCACAGAGAAGAGACGGATCTCATACCACCAAGAAAGAAGCACTAGTGGCAGAGCATGTTCTTTGGACCCGGAGTCCCTGTGCTGAGAAGTTCCTAGGCCAGGAGAAGATTGATGACAAGGACCTTCTCCCGGAGCCAACGAGAGAGAAAAACTTACCCTGGATCTGGCCCTGGAATTCAGACTTCTAGCCTGCTAGACTGTGGGAGAATAAATTTCTGTTTGTTAGAGTCATCCACTTGTGGTATTTCTGTTACAGCAGCACTAGATAACTAAGACAGCATTATTGAAGAAGAACAAAGTCGGAGGCCTCACACTACCTGATCTTACAACGTGCTATACAGCCACAGTAGTCAAAACAGCCTGGTACTGGAACAACAACAGACACATAGACCAATGGAACAAAACTGAGAACCCACACGCAAATCCATCCATCTATGGGGATCTGATATTTGACAAAGGGCCAAAGTCCATTAAATTGGGAAAAGACAGTCTCTTTAACAAATGATGCTGGCATAATTGGATGTCCTTCTGTAAAAAAATAAAACAGGATCCATATCTCACACTATACACAAAAACTCACTCAAAATGGATCAAAGACCTAAATACAAAGCTTAAAAAGATAAAGATCATGGAGGAAAAAATAGGGACAATGCTAGGAGTCCTAATACACGGGATAAATACAATACAAACCATAGCTAACAATGCACAAACACCAGAAGATAAACTTGATAACTGGGGGATCCTAAAAATTAAACACATGCTCACCAAAAAACTTCACTAAAACAGTAAAAAGAGAACCTACAGACAGGGAAAAAATGTTTGGCTACAACATATCCAACAAAGATCTAATCTCTAAAATCTAAAAAATATGTCAACACCTCAACAACAAAAATAAAAATAATTCAATTAAAAAATGGGCAAAGGATATGAACAGACTCTTCACCAAAGAAGACATTCAGGCGGCTAGCAGACACAAGAAGAAATGCTTGAGATCATTAGCCATTAGAGAAATGCAAATCAAAACTGCAATGAGATAGCATCTCACACTTACTATACTGACACTAATAAAAAAAAAACAATAAATGTTGGAGAGGTTGAAGGGAGACTGGAACTCTTGGGTACTATTGGTGGGAATGTAAAATGATACAACCACTATGGGAAACGATATGGCACCTCTTTAAAAAGCTGGAAATAGAAATACCATACCATCCAGCAATCCCACTCCTAGGAATACACTGTAGAGAAGTAAGAGCCATCACACGAATAGCTATGCATACCCATGTTCATTGCAGCATTATTCACATAGCAAAAAAGATGGAAACAACTTAAGTGCCCATCAACAGATGAATGTATAAACAAATTATGATGCATACACATAATGGAATACTACGTAATGATAAAGAACAATGATGAATCCCTGAAACATCACACAACATGGATGAATCTGGAGGGCATTATTCTGAGTGAAATAAGTCAATCACAAAAAGACAAATATTGTATGAGACCATTATTATAAAAACCTAAGAAAAGGTTTACACACAGGGAAAAAAAATATTTGATGGTTATGAGGGAGGGGAGGGTTTGGGAAGGGAAATCGCTAACTAAACAGTAGACAAATTTCAACTTTGGCGAAGGGAAAAACAACACACAATATAGGGGAAGTCAGCACAACGTGTCCAAGGCAAAGTCATAGAAGCTTCTGAAACACATCCAAACACTTTGAGGGACCGAGTTGCTGGAGCTGAGGGCTGGGGACCATAGTCTCAAGGACTATCTAGGTCAATTGACATAACATAGTTCATAAAGAAAATGTTCTACATCCTACTTTGGTGAGTAGGGTCTGGGGTCTTAAAATCTTGTGAGTGGCCATCTAAGATACATCCAGTCTCGAGCAAAGGAGAATGAAGAAAATCAAAGACCCAAGGAAAATACTAGCCCAAAGGACTAAAGCACCACATGAACCACAGCCTTCACCAACCTGAACTCAGAAGAACTACATGGTGCCTGACTGTTCTGACGGGGACCAAAATACAGAGTCCTGGACAGAGTAGGAGAAAAATGTAGAGCAAACTTCAAA